CCTTTCACTTTTTCTATATAGATCGAAATGTCGGTCGCCATCTGCTTTGCTAGGGTTTTGCCCGATGGCGAAACCTTGGTTTGATATCTTCGGTCGTCAATCTTTTCTTTGGTACTCGACAACGAACTTCCCGCACTCGACGACGACGACGAAGGGCTCTGCGTTCGTTGTCTTCCCATTTGCGCCATACGATGAAGGGCTTCGACGCTGTTTCCCATTTCAAGCTTCGGTTTCGAGCTATGGTTTCATCTACGGTCCCTGTCTGCGGTGTCCTTTTCTCAGAAGGGCGCGCCTTCTGCTCGCTTCCTGCCCGCCAGACTATTTCTCTCCTGCCTTGTGAGGGAGATGACCTTGACGCTCCATTCCTATGCAAATGCTATTGCCGACGACTTTTCTGCTCGTGCCCCTCCTCCTGGTTTAGCGTCTGGTTTTGCTATCGGTAAGTCCTGCAATGTTCCAGAATCTTTCCATGAGGTTCTTCAAGGTGCAGGTGATCACACTTTTATTAAAAAACTTAGAAAAAAAAATGGGAAGCCTGCACTTATTCTCACAGAGATTGAAACCGACACTCTCGCGTCCTCTTGGCGTTTACCTAGTGGGAAAATTCCTTTATGGTCACCAAAAATTGAAGATCACTAGGAAGGAGTTTGATACTATGAAACTACTGGGTAGTTGGAACATTGGCCTACTTGACGGTAGACATATACTTATTCAGTTATTTCATGATGTCAGTTACACTTTCATTTTCTCTCGAAAAACTATCAAGATTGACAATCGTTTTATAAAAATTTTGAAGTCGACTGTCGGTTTTGGTCCAAAAGCGGAGTCTCCTATCATTCCTATTTGGATAAAGTTTCCGAGGTTAAAATTACATCTGTTCAACATGAAAATCCTCTACTCTTTAGCAATTGCTTACGGTAAGCCTCTCAAGGTGAATAGTCCTACGCTTGCTGTCACTAGACTCTCTGTAACTTGCGTGTTAGTTGAGAGAGATATCACTCAACCAACTCCGGATGACATATAGATTGACACTATACACAACGGGTATTGGCAAAATGTTGAAATGAAACCACATCCTCCTTATTGCTCTCATTGTAGTATGTTTTGCCACAATTCTACTATTTGTTATCGTTTGCATCCTCATTTAAGGCCGAATATCGCTAAAGAACAACCACCTACTATCCCTGTTGAGAAGATGCAACCCGATCCTCTTCCCAACACCGCAATTCTTGAAGAAGAACAACATACTACAGCTACAGATCCAGTTGTGTTTATACCACTCATTATTATTGAAGAAGACTCACTCACATGCCAAGACACACGAGAGTGCTTCTTTGATCCAATAACATATCAGTCGGTACAACATGTAGTTGCTTCTAATGTCCAATAATCTGCATATCTCAAGCACACTTTAGACCAAAATCAGATGAGTCAATCTTTGGAAGAGGAATGACAGGTCTATTCCAGGAGGAAGAAGAAAAATGAAGGCCGACTCCAGCTCGGGAACATATTGGATGATACATTGGTTACTACTGACAATGACAATCATCTTACCAACTTATTAGCTTGCTCATTTCTTAGAACCAGAGGCAGAGGCAAAACCAAATTGGGTTGCTCTCAAGCCACCTGATACTATGTATTTCTGCATTTTTAGGCTTTTTATTTGTCTCTAATGTATTTTTCAGTATTTTCTAGTTGTGGAACCCCTTGTGGTTTTGTTGTGAGCAGGGTGTCATGTTTGGGCCTTCCATCACATTGTATATGTATCTTTCTTTCTAATTAATATATTAGCCTTTTCGGCTTTCAATATATATATATATATTTATTTATATATATATATAATATCTGGAAATTTATTAGCAAATTCTATAATACGATTAATAGGAACTATAGATGAGTGAAATATTATGACCTAAAAATCGAATTTGAGTTTTAAAGATTTTAATATTTGGCGCTGGAATAATTATTTCATATTACTTGGCAAGCCATTTAAAAGTATTAATATGTTTAATATGTTCTTCAATAGTTTGAGAAAAGATTAATACACCATCGATGTAGGCAGAATAAAGATTAAATATTTCATTTATTATATTTTGAAACTCAAAAAGTGTATTTTTAAGTTCAAATGACATCTCGTTCCACTCATAATGATGAAATGAAATAGCAAAAGCTGTTTTATATTGACCATTTTCTTTTATTTGAATTTACCAATATTCTTATTTGAGATCAAACTTAAAGAAAATAATAGCATTATTTAATCAATTTACTATTTCTTTATTTGGGATGGGATACCATATCCATTTAAATACCTTATTTGTTTATAATTAATGACTACTCTAGGTCTTCCTTTCACTTTTTCAGTTGCATTTTCTACATAGAAAGATGTGTGGTTCTAAGGGAAATATGATTTTCTAATAATCCTCTTGACTAAAAACTCATTTATTTCATTTTGACATATATTAAAATAATATTGATTCATTTGACATGATTTAGCTTTTGTGGGAATATCTTTTTCTTTGAATCCATCTTCATAGGATAATTCTACATATATTTCATAATTCATATAAAATTAAAGTTCATTTTATTTTAGAAGGGGTGAGAGATGTATGATCTCTTATAGAATATAAAATTTGATGTGAATTTAATTGAACGTTAGTTTTTGGTCTCTTTATTATTCTTTTCAGAACTTGAAAAGGAAGAAGAAGAAAGAGATGTTGAAGGTAAATATATTTTGGCTGGAGATATATATCTTTTTGATTAAATCTCACTTCTACTTCTCCATCAGTATATTGAACAATTTGATCTAATTCTTGATTAATAATTGGTTTTGGATTATTTCTGAAGGTATAATCTAAGAATCGGGAAAAAAATTACTTCGTTCCATTTAATAACTCGATTGGTTGCTATATGGTAAGCAAACAAATTAGTCTCTATTAATTTAGTTCTGTCTAAAGATTGAACTATTCTTTTTATATTTCAATATAACGTATTCATAATTTTAAAATGGATTCGATCTATTATAAATATAGTTTCAGATCTTGTATAAAATTATATGCATGCATTTGAATTTATTGTTTTGCTAATTCAAATAAATTAGCATCCATAAGTGAAGCTTAAATTTGGATATATATTAAAATATATTGGCTCATGACATAAACTTGTTTCTAAAACTTTCATTAATGATTGAGCCCAATTTAAACATCTCGCATATTTTAAATATGCTAGAATATAAGCATTTAATTCTATAAGGGTTAAAGGTTTAAATGTTATTTGAATTAGTCCACTGTGAATGCATTTATAATTTGAAAATATGTGATTAAATTTTCTTTCGATAATAAAGATATAATTTTTTTGGTTCCATCTATAGTAATGGATTGTTCTATTGTTTTAATAAAAGTCTTTCCTTTAAATCAAAAATTTCAATTCTATATAACATAGATTTTTCTATTTTAGAGATTGTTCATTTATTGAGTTCATCGTTAAGAGGATATTTCGAGATTTCAATTTTTTCAACGTTTTGATTTTTCACAAAAGGCGAAGTTGATAAAATAGAATTAAATCGTGAACTAGATGCCAAGAAATTACTTAAGAGACTCATATGTATAGGGTGCTATTAATCTAAATAAACACAAAAATTATTATCTTAGAACATAAGTAATAACTTGAGCAGTATAAGATATTGTTATGCCAGAAAAATGAGATTAATCTAAATAAACACAAAAATTATTATCTTAGAAAATAAGTAATAACTTGAGCAGTACAAGATATTCTTATGCCAGAAAAATGAGATATTATTTCAACCTTATTCGGATCAGTAGTCTTGCACTGTCAGGTTTCCAGTCGATATACTAGCACAATATAATTTTCTTTCAAGATTTAGATTTTTAAAATAATATCCAGGCATAGACATACATACAAAACTTTAGATCAAGGACAAAAGCCAAGAAATCTCAAAAACTCAAAATCTTTAAAAAACTTACAAATTATATCTTATTTTTAACATAGTAATTAAAGATTAATTAGTTTTTTTCATCATACATAGTCAAGAATTTATAGAGTTCATAAGAATTCAAATCAATTTTAATTATCAAGATGAAACCAAATAACCATTTTTATTAAAATTAATATTACATCTAAACATAAGAGTTTCTTATAAAGATTTATTCTAACATGACTTTGATACCAACTTGCTCCAGGATTATAAATAATAAAAAAATCAAGAATGAAATATATATAAAAAATGGACTTACAGACAATCTGTCTTGACTTTCTAGGAAGCACTTTCACTCTTACTCTTTACAGATTAACAAAGTCTATTTCAAATATTGTATACTCTAAAACTAAAGAACACTTTTATATATAGATTCAATTACAATCATGGAAATAAAAATTATAAAACATAATACAATAAACAGTAAACGTATAAGATTTCTTTCTAAGTGGATGGAATACAGAGTCGCAAACATTTTTCGGGATTAATAATGGAGATGTTTTTGCACTGGATTAAGCTAGAAAATATCCTTCAATTGATGTTGTAGATTAATGGTGGGGTCCATCATTAAATTCTATCTGCCCGATTATTATTGATTTTTTTGGATGATTGTCATGTGTATATCATCTCAATTCTCTTGTACATCTTCAATGGCCACTGATGTTTTGTCATCTTGATTCATTTTATTTTCTTCTTCAGAGAATAACTTAACAAATTGCTTTTCCAACATTTCATTAATTTTCTCAAACGATTTATTAAGAAATGTTCTTCGAAGTTGATTATATAAAACTTTAAAAGTGATTTCTTCTTTATAAAGATTTTTTAGCAAGTTGGATTTATTGGTCTAGATAATTTTATTAAATATAATCATTTTCTTCAATGTGAATATCAATCCACTATTTAATAACATAATTTATGAATAAGCATTTACAATTTAAGGAATCATATTGAATTTATAAATTTCACGACCAGATTCATGGTTTTTAACATTATGTTAAAAATTAAAATTGTGATTGATCATCTGTTAATGATTGAGTAGGAATTTTAGAAATGTAATGAAATGATTCAATCTAGTCACAATATTTAGATTTATTGATGTTGGAAAAATTTGAGTAATAACATCACAATTATCCCATCACCGATAAATTAGTGTGATATATCATTTGATAAGATTTTAAGCATTTAAACAAATGTTTAAGAATTTTCTCTTTGTGGGTTAATAAAAAAAAATTTATGTATCACTTCAACACAAGTCTAGTAATTAAAAAAAAAGATTATATTGTGCTTCAGAGTTATGATATTTGATGTTTTTAATTTGATATGGAGTAAGTCTTCATTCTTTATGTTTGAGAAAACGATAAGTAATAACTTTATTATAAACAATTAATTTTTTTTCATCATTATAATTAAGCTGAATTTCTATGCATTTTAAGGATATAAGTATGACTTCATATATAGTTCTATCGTAAAAGCATTTTTGAGGAAATCGATTATTTTCTAAATATGATTCCAAGATTGCCCAAGATAAAGTGAGATAATCATTTCCATTAATATCTAAGATAGCATATATAACTACCTTTATGTAAATAAAATATTTAAATTCTATTTTTAGGATTTCAAAATAAGTTTTAAGTGTGATAAGAGTCCCTTTTATTTGAGATAATAAAGCATCCGCTGATTGAGTGTGTTGATTGGGTGGACATCCATATAAATATTATGTAAGACTATTATGCAGTAAGAAAAATTGCTACGACCTTCTCTCCTCCCCCTAGGAAAAGAGCAATCACGATTGTAATTAGGGGGTCATAAGACCCTTTTCTTTGGTGTGTTCCACTCCTGAGAATCCTGCAAAAGCGAGTTATTTTTGCCCTTAATATGTTCAATATCAAAATAAAAAATGGATAATTGAGCTTACTAGGTGGCAAAAATTTGTTTGAATGTTAAATTTTTAACATCTTTAAGTATCATGGACTTAGCAACACTGCAATCAATGCATAATAATAATAATTTAATATTAAGTAAATTATCTTGAAATTTAGAAATATATCTAACAATAACAGATATTTCTATTTTAATAGTGAAATATTTAGTTTTGAGTTGAATTCTATCGGCCAGAAGTGAATTGAATAAGTTCTTTAGAATGAACGATTAATTTTTGTTTCAACATTCTAACATAATCCAAATTTGATGCATCTATTTTGACAAATTTAAAACTAGAAGGATTGACTAAATTGATACCAGATAAAATTTTGATTTTGACTTAGTTTTGTGGACTACGACAATATGAACTTTAGACCACATAGGAAGATTTTTTCTGAGTTTATCAAATAGAGGTGCTACATCTAATACAAAATTTTTACACAAATCGATAACACAATTCAATGCTCCGCTAAATCTTTGAAGTTAATTTTTATCAATTATTTTGTCAGGAAATTTATCAGTAAATTCTATACTACGATTAATAAGAACCACCGAAGAGTTTGAAATATTACAACCTAATAATATCCTTATTGTCAAAAGAAGTTTTAATCGCATTGGCCTAATTCAAAAGAGAAGGAAGACCTATATTAGTCATTAATTATAAATCATTAAATAAGGTACTTAAATGGATATGGTATCCTATCTCAAATAAAAAAGATTTTTTAAATCGATTAAATAATGCTATTCTTTTCTTTAAATTTAATCTCAAATCAGGATATTGACAAATCCAAATAAAAGAAAAGAAACACACTTTACAATTCCATTTAGCCATTATGAGCGGAATGTGATGTCTTTTAGATTAAAAAATACACCTTTTGAGTTTCAAAATATAATGAATGAAATATTTAATTCTTATTCTGCCAACATTATTGTTTATATCGATGATGCATTAATCTTTTCTCAAACTATTAAAGAACATATTAAATATATTAATACTTTTAAATGACTTGCCAAAAAAAATAGATTAATTATTTCAGCACAAAAAATTAAAATCTTTCAAACTCAAATTTGACTTTAGGTCATAATATTTTCAACTCTTCAATAGTTCCTATTAATATGGTATAAAATTTGTGGATAAATTTCTCATATAATAACTGATGAAAAACAAAAATGATTTCTCGGAGCATTGAATTATGTTGTCAATTTTTACAAAATTATTGCTTTAGATGCTGCCTCTTTATTTAAGAGACTTGAGAAAATTTCCTCTATTTTGTCTAACATGCATACTGTCGCAGTCCAAAAATTAAATCCAAATTCAAAATTTTACCATGTATCAATTTAGACAATCGTTTTAGTTTTGAAATTGTTGAAAGATATGTATCAAATTTAGGTTATGGTGGAGTCTTAAAAAAAAAATTAATCTCTTCTTCTAAGCAACTTGTTTGATTCACTTCCAGTCGCTTGAATCCAACTCGTCGCTTGAATCCAACTCAAACTAAATATTCAACTATCAAATTAGAAATGTTTGCTATTGTCAAATCAATTTCTAAATTTTAAGATGATTTACTGTATATTAAATTTTTATTAAGTATTGATTGAGTATCGCTTAATCCATTATACTTAAAGTTGTTAAAATTTTAGCATTCAAATAAATTTTTACTACTTGACAGATCCAATTATCAGTTTTTAATTTTGATATTGAATATATTAATGACAAAATTAACTCATTCCTTGATTTTTTAACTCGTAAATTTTTGCAGGAATTCTCAGGGGTGGATTAGACCCAAAGAAAAGGGTAGCAATTCTTCTCTAATTACAATCGATGTGGTTTTTTTCCTCGACAGAGGGGAAGAGGTCATGGTAATTATTCTCCTCGCATGATTAGTTTTCACAATAATTTTATGGATCTCCACCTAATTAGTACACTTAATCAGCAGATCTCAAATAAAAAAATTCCCCTATCACATTTAAAACTTAGTATGAAATTCTAGAATCAAAATTTGAATCTCTTATTTGCTCAAAAGGAGTTATATCTAATGTCTTATATATTAATAGAGATAGATTATTATCTTACTTCACCTTGGACAATCTTAGAACGATATTTAAGAGATAATTCATTCCCTCAAGAATACTTTTAAGATCAAATTATATATAAAGTCATACTTATATTCTTGAAATACGTAAAAATTCAACATATTTATAGTGATGAAAATAAATCAATTGCTTATATTAAAACTACCATTCATCGTATTCTCAATCATAAAGAATGAAGAATCACTTCCTATAAAATTAAAAGTATCCAATATTAAAACACTAAATTACAATATAAACAAACTTTCTTTTAATTACTAGACTTATGTTGAAGCGATGCATGAATGCTTTCTTTTATTAACCCATGAAATAAAATATTCTTGAATGTTTGTTATGATGTTTGAAATATTATCACATGATATGCATCATTAGTTTTATCAGTATGGAAAAATTATGGTGCTATTACTCAAATTCTTTTAAGACCAACAAAATGTGAATATTCTGACTGGGTTGAATTGTCTCATTACCTTTTTAAAATTCCTATCGAATCATTAATAGATGGTCAATCAGAATTATATTTTCTTACACAATGCGAAATACCTTAATTTGGTCATGGAATTTAGAAATTCAACATGATTCCTTAAATCGTAAATGCTCATTCAGAAATTATGCTAGTCAATGGTGGACTGTTATTCACATTTAAGAAAATATTATATCTATTAATAAAGTTATCTGGGCCAATAAATCCAACTCGCGAAAAAATCATTCTCAAGAATAAACCACTTTTTAATTTTTGTATAATCAACTTCAAAAAAAATTTCTATTGAATGATCTAAGAAAATTAAAGAAAGATTGCAAAAACAACTAGTTGATTTATTCTCTGAAGGAGATGAGTTAAATCAAAATGACAAGATATTAGTGACAATTGAAGATGGTTCAGAGAATTGATATACACATGACAATCATCCAGAAAACTGAGTACTAATCAAACAAACAAAAGTCAAAAAATACTTTCTAGCTCAATCCAATACAAAAACATCTTCATTATTAACCCCGAAGGATGCTCGGGACTCTGCTTTCTGTCCACATAGAAAGAAATTTTATACTTTTACTGTTTATTGTAGTGTTTTATAATTTTCATTTCTGCTAATTGTGGTTGAGTCTATATGTATAAGTATTGTTTATTTTTAGATTGTGTAGTATTTGAAATACTCTTTGCTAGTCTAAATGTGTTTGTAAGAGTGAGGATGCTTCCTGGCAAGTCAAGACGAATAGTCTGTAAGTCTTTATATAATACATATATATTTTAATCAAGAAATTCATATTACACGATGCAATATATTTATTACTAACATTTGGGATGTGAAATACTTTATACACTCCATATATATATATATATATAGCCATATACATATACATATATATGCTATGAAGGTTGAGACAACTAAATATTAAAAAGACTATCATAGTTCTGTGGATGATATTTTCTAAAGTTAGCAATAAAACCATACCAGTGGTGTTCTTCCTCTTGAGTCGCTGGTATCCGGATCCATTCCAGCTTTCAGGAGCTCCTCAAGGAAATAGCTATTTCCAGTAGCAGTAACAGTTAGCAAATTGCAACGTATTGTAGCTTCATCACATTCACCATTTTCTCCTATTAAATCCTCAAAGCTGATATTTTTATATTCAATTTGATGCTGCAAAATATGACATTTATGACAACCCCCAAATAAACTCGAAAGAAACAGTTTTTGATAACATCGTTCCACTTTACCTTCAAAATGTTCTTAATTATAGCCAAGCTATCTTCTTGTTTTGCTTTCATAGCTTCTTTGAGTGTGCTCCTCTTCAACCTCAATAACTGGCATAAAGTTTTAGAACGGAAAGTAAAGCTTTGAGGTCTGTTAGTGAGAGCACTTGCTTCCCCAAATATATCTCCTGTGGTTAACGTTCCCAAGATTTGCTCTCTCTCTTCCTCAGAGTGTATGATCTCAATTTCTCCTGAAACTATAATGTAAATGTCATCTGGTGCTTCACTTTGCATGATCACATCATCTTTGGGTGGAATATACTCTACTTTCATTTGTGCGACCTGTTGAATGTCTTTGATAAATAATTTCTATATTATTTTATTTTTAAAAGTCAAGTTGAAAATAATCTAACCAGAAGAAGGAGCATTTCCCTTGTAACTCCCTTAAATAGGTAAACATCCTTTACAGTCGGCAAGAAAAGTAGCTCGCATATGCTTTTGCGTATTGACTTGGGCAGTTGGTCTAGCAAATGTTGTTGGTTTAAGCTTTCTGCTTTGAACTTGAGGCACATATAGGCCAATATTTGTTGTTTCAATCTGGGTGGTAGATGGTTCCGACTTACAAAATTAGAAGCAGCTTGGATACCATTCCTCTGCAACAATCAGTAAATTACAGTTAAGAAGCTTCACTTAACTTGGCTATTCTTATAAATAATTATTCATGATATTGGAAGACTTATACAAATTCCATTGTTCGTCGGGTTCCTTCTACAACTAAATTAGTCATGTTCCCAATCAAGTATGCAGTGAGGCCTAGGTTGAAAAGCATGTAGAATATGTTGAAGATCATTTCTGTTAGATTCACAGCATGAAGGTCACCATAACCAACAGTGGTCATGGTAGTAATAGACCAGTAAAGAGCAGATATGTAGCGAATCCACAAGTTTGCTTCTTGAAAATTTGGCATGACTGCACCAATCCATGTCCTCCCTTTATGTGGATATCGGTCTGCCAACAAGTAGTAGAGACAGCCAGCACAATGCACTAAGAATAGAGTAACCTGAAATATATTTACACATTTTTATTCAGTTTCTGTAATCCATTTATATATATATATATATATAGATAAACTAATTAATTAATTAATTAATTAAGTTGAGTAAGATAGAATTAAAAGCTTTACATACACAAATGAGTCTTGTACATCTTATCCAGAAGTAGCTGAATCTGATGTCCTTCTCAAGTCTGCAGGGATAGCCCAGACAATGAACTTACTAATTTCACATAACAAAGTTTCTTGACCCTACGAAAAAAGTGTGCTTGTTTTTAGGTAAGAATTCTGTAGATTTGAGAAATATGTTCAAACCTTGTGAAGAACTGCTTTATCTTCCTCAAACGCCAAAGTCTTAGCATGCCCAGAACACTGTAAGAGATCCCTGACTTGACTTTTCCAGTGAACAGATAACCTAAACCTTCAAAAGGGATTGTTGATGCCACATCCATGATGAACCAGGAGGATAGATACCTTTATGCCGTCATTTCACATAAGTATTGTTGGAATAAGTTTCACAAATCTTGTGTTATTAAATATCACTTATTGAAAATCTAAATCAAAACTGAAATCTCTATGAAAAAAAAAAAATTACAAGATGAATGTTATGAACAAATTAGATAAGTATAGCTGAACATTCAAGAATATGCTAAAAAGAAAGCAGAGATTTTGAGGTTTGAAGGCATATGCTTTGTCACATCCACGTGAAAATCAAATGCAAAATGAAATTTTCAGTTACAAGAGTTTTAGTTAAAGTAAATCATTGATATATTCTTGTTGTGAGATATGTACTTTCTGGCATAGAAATGAGACAAAAAAGAACACAAGCAAACACAGATCGTTTACGTGGTTCGATTCAACTGGATCTACGTCCACGGGAGGGAATCAATCAAATATTTCACTAAGGCAAAAGAAATGGAGAATACATAGCTTATACATAGAGATGAGCCCTCATCTTCCTTCTATGGCCTCCCTCTCAAGCGACACCTTGATACAAGGCCTCAAGATGCTCTCCTCCTCTCTAACTCTATAGCTATTCTCTCATCTTTTGTGGTAGCTTAAGATCTCTTCTCCCTTTCCTCTCCTAAGCCTCACACCCTTAAGATTTCTTCCCTTGCTCTCCTAAGCCTCACACCCTCTCTATTTATAGAAGCAAGAGAGTGGTAGGTGGGAGGTAGGCCCTTGCTCTCCTAAGCCTCACACCCTCTCTATTTATAGAAGCAAGAGAGTGGTCGGTGGGAGTTAGGTGAGCGGTAGGTGAACGGTAGGTGAGATGTGGTAGGTGAGCGGTACCACATTACAAAAGTGTCATTTTACTTTAGTTCATTAATTGGGGGTCAAAATAACAATTTTTTTTATTAATTTTTGTTCGTATTTAAATTATGACTTGATTCTTTATATCGGAGATATCAAGCTTAACATTCATGAAATAAAAGATAGCAAAAATCTAATAAAAATTTGAAATTCATTCATATAAAATCAAATTCATATAATTTAAGTCAAGATAGTTTTAAAAAGATTTAGAGAAGAATTAATTTCTTAAATGGTACATTTAATTTAAACAAAAATTGAATTAAGTTTATTGGGCATTTTCATATCGGAAATGAAATTTGGATTTATATAATGTTGATAGTTAAGAAGAGTTGAAATTATTCAGTGATATTTAAATATGAATATTGCATCTATTATTTAGTGCTAACTAGTATTTAATTTTTTCTGACTTTCTTTATCGCCTATGTATGGGCACTTTTATGTCAACATATATTTCAATATAATAAAGAGCATTATAATTAAGTTTTATAATGTCGATGACAGTAACTTAGAGTGCCTAAACTTCCCAATAAAAAATTTTCAAATTGACAACTAATGTAGGCCATGTTTTGGGTAATGTTTTTGACAAAACTTTTGTGCAAGCTTATTCTTAGGGTGGTAAATGAACCAATACACTTGGCGAACAACTCGAACTCGGCTTGATTAATACTCAATTAAGTTTTTTCAAGCTAATAAATATGATCATTTCTTAAAAACTCGAAGGTTAAATGAACTAAATTTATACATGACTCAACTCGTTTATTTTTGTTCACAAACAGACTTGTTTGTTATTCAACAAGTAACCTGTTAAATTAGTATTAGAATATTAACATAAGAACAACTATCTCTAGTCATTAGTAATATTCAAATTTTCTTTTATTTGCTATTATTTGCTTTCGTGTTTCTCTTTATTCAGTTTTTATTTCTTTTGCATTTTCCTTTAGTCTATTTTTATTTCTTTCCTTATGAGTGCCCATTTTAGTTGGGTTTATATACCCCTTATTCTATCAATAAGATATGCTGCTCTACTCTAATATTTCAACGTGGTATCAGAGTCAGGATCTAACCGTAGATCCTAGCCACCATCGGCCTCCCCTGCAGTCACTGCTGGCCTTCCTTGCAAGGTCTTATGCAGGAACTCCTAGCCACAGGCCCTTCCAGCTGAAGTCTGCAGCTGTCGACCCTCCTCTGCCATCCCCTACAACCGTTGTCCTCCTTGGCAACTGCCAGCCTCCTCTCTGCAAAGGTAGATTCTCCCATCAACCGTCCCTGCAGTTCCTCTCTGTTGTTTTTCTCTGGTGGTTGGTCTCTCCTGCAGTTATCTTGATTACTTATTTTTTTCTTGTCAGTTGGTGACCTACATGCTGAAATCTGGCAATGTCTCAGAATCCCAACCAAATTGCTTTTGGCTTAGTCAAAATCACGGGAAACTCCTCCAACACTGAGCCATCCTCAGAAAGTGTTCTTGATTCAACCGGACATTCGACTCCAACCTCCATTCCCATGCAGGCCAGAGAACCAGAAACCAACATGAGCATCTTGATCGCAACTCACAAACTAAACGACATTAACTTTTTCCAATGATCTCAAGCGGTTTCCTTATTCATCAAAGGATGCAAGAAATTCGATCACGCCACAGACATGATCTGTGAACCTCCAAAGACTAACTCAATATATAGGGCTTGAAAAATGGAGAACTTCATGGTCATGTCGCGGTTGATCAACTTCATGGAACCGTCAATTGGTCTTTCATATATGTTCCTACCTTCCGCTAGTACCCTCTAAACGACATTCCCTGATACCTACTCGGATGTAGGAAACTCCGACCAACTCTATGAGATGTTTAAGAAGATCAAGGAGACAAAGTAGGGATCAAGGACTATGACCCAACACTACAATGACATGGCGGCACTCTGGATGGAATGCAACCTGTATTACTACACTTGGGACTCTCTGGCCGACCTTTCCCTCTTCCAGAAAATTGTAAAAAAGGATCGCATGTTCCAATTCCTGACAGGCCTCAACAAATATCATAACGAAGTTCGGGGCAGTCTTTTTTGTCGGGATCATCTTTCTTCCGTTCGTGTTGCTTTCTCCGAGGTCTGTCACGAAGAGAGCCAGAGACTTGTCATGCTCGACACTTCCTTGGTCTCTAATAATGCTGACTTGTCATGTCGGGATCATCTTCCTTCAACTGAATCGTCTGCTTTGGTTTCTAATAATGTTGAGCTCTCTCGGCAAATTCACTTCACTTATGATTACTGTCACAAACCCACACACTCATGACCAGTGTTGAAAGCTCCATGGAAAGCCAACATACAAATTCTCGGCTAAATCCTCTACTGCCAAGGGTCTTACTACGACATCAGAATTTGCCAAGATTCAACCTGCTCCTACCCTGAACATTTCGGAATCCTCTGACTTTTTAAAAATTCAGATGGAGCACTTAATTAAACTACTTGGATCCAATCAGTTCTATGCTGGCATGTCGACCTCACACATTTGTCAAGGTACCATCCCTATGACACTTATGTTTTTTTCTCCTCTAGACCATAGATCATTGTTTCAAGCGCCACAGACCATATGAATGGATGTTCGCAAACTTTCTCGACATACTATCAATGTTCCAGAAAAAAGGGTCAGAATTGCGGATGACTCCTATAATTACATTGCTAATAAAGGGGTTGTTGTTCTAACGAATGATCTAATTTGTGTTTCATGCAACACTGTTGAAGTGTAACATTTTATCTGTCAATAAGTTGTCATACGATATTGATTGTGTTGCTCATTTCTCTCCTGATGTGTGCCTTTCACGATCGTCGTTCGGGGAGGATGATTGGAACTGCTAAGCGGTAGTTCTGTTGTCACCTGAAAAACGAGGGCTTGCCACTCAGTAGTTGTAGCCTATCTCGAGTCGCTGAATGTCCCATTATATTGTTGTATCTTTGTTAGAGTAATCATAGTTTTCAATATTTAAAACAATTGTATCCATTGATATTTTCTAATCAAAGTCTTTCTAATTTCACATGTTAGTTAGCCAAACATCATCGGGTCCATTACCTACCCCACACTCACACACCTTCTGCTCATTTTCACTCCTTCATTATGACGTGTGGGGACCCTCTCGCACTATAAGCTTTACCAATAAACGATGGTTACTTAATTTTATTAATGATCACACTCGGATAACGTGGGTTTCTATTTTAAAAGACAAATCAGAAGTTGTTGTCACTTTTCAAAACTTTTACACCTTCATTTTCACCTAATTCAAAAATTCAATTCAGGTCATTCGAACCGACAATGGTCGTAAGTTTTTTAACTCTATCTTAGGTAAATTATTGATAAGGGGATCTTCTACCATAACTCGTATATGGACATTCAACAAAAGGGTAGCCGAGAGAAAAAATTGACATCTCTTCGGCGTTGTTCGCTTCATTATGTTTCAATCTAATGTTTTTAAACGTTTTGGCATGATGCCATGCTGACTGTCATCTATCTCATAAGAAGGATCTCTTCTAAAATTCACAACTTTCGAACTCTTAATCATCTTGATGTCATCCTTTCCTGCCAATTGAGTTTTCTCCATCTTAGATCTCAAAACATTTGGGTACACAGCTTTTGTTCGGAACACTGACCCCACTCGGAGTAAATTTGAACACAGATCCATAAAATGAAGGTGCTTTGTTTAGACACATTTTAGAATCAGAATAGAAAAGGGAATCAGTGAAAACTCGTGCTTTGAAACAACAAAATAGACATTTTATTCATCAAAATTAGTAAGTACAAAGTGAGTTTAAACCCGGAGTACACACTTAAGGTGCAATAGAAGTTCTTGTTCTCCACCTTTTCCACTTAGGATCACTAATTCTCTCGGGCAATCTTCTCCCTCTCATAGAATTTTCGATCTATCACCCTCCCTTAAAAAATTTGCTCACTCACACAGAGAGAAAGACTAGAGTAAATCTAGAGAAATCGATAAGCGACACATGGTTTTGGAGGAAGCGCCTAGGTGCCCCATACTTTGCGCCAAGGTGCTTGCCTGGCTCTCGATTCCATGGGCATGCTTGGGCGCATGGGTGGCTCCTAGGTGCCACTCAAGGCGATCTGGGCTCTAGTGCTTGGTGCCTCCATTGGACATGTGTCTGAAGTAGCTTCTTTCTATT